AAACGAAACTGTCCGTAATATCGGGGTGTCCGTATTAAGCGGGTGTCCGTAGAGCGGGGTTCCACTGTACATTAACATTAAAACCAAAGCAATAACGTGAGCAAAAAATACAATATGATTAGATTTGAGAAAGTGCATTAAAATATACGCAGATCAGCCAATTCAGTTATTTGAAATGTTATAGAAACTTTGGTCTGAAAGATCTTAGTTAAAGGAGAACCTCTCCCCCCTTCGAAGGCATATCTTACTTAAAGAAATGTTTAGTGCAGTTAGAAACGACGTGCAATTAAGTGCAATTAAACTACTGCAGTGCTCTTTCGAAGTTGTTTTCCTCGCTCCTTGGACGGATTACAATCAACATAGAGCTGATATTGAGATTAATTAACCAGTGTTTTTTAATTAACCGGCCTAGTATGAGCAAAACATTTTGGCTTAGTGGATTACGGAAAGTATTCTTCCTTGATATTCAAGTTACATTACCACATACCACCTGAGCAAAATAGAACGGACGTTTTGAGTAAGAAGTAGCGGAACTCTAGTGAATTACAGCTCATTGAATTTAATATTCTGATCCCAGCGGCTTGTTAAGAAATAAAAAACTGCAATCCCAATTAAATTTTTAGACGTTGTTTTTCCTTTCAGTTGATGTTTCTTTGTTTTCATAGCATTTCCCTTTGTTTCATTGTATTCCAAGGTAATAAAGCAAGTGTATAGCAAGCTCCCAGCAATACTCTTTCAAACACAAAATATAACAAATGGGACCGTCTCTTTAACAAAAGCTAAGGCGAATCTTAAATATATTTCCCAGCAGACATAGTAACCCAATTCGTTGGAAAACACTCTCACAATTTTTCTAAACTTTTCAGTCTTGAAGATTTACGTCTCAAATTTAAGAGATATTGGTATATTTTTCGAATTGCGATCTAGATTTCGGCAAAATCGTTGATACAGTGGAACCTCGATCTAACGAAGTCGCTGGGAACCGGCCAAATTTGTTCGTTAAATCGAGGGGTTCCTTAGATCGAAAACCTCGATATAACGAATTTGAGGGGAAACAACCAAAATGTTCGTTGTATCGAGGTCATAGTTAATGATTGATTTGTAACACAGGTGACTTCTGTCACGTAATTCAATGCAATTTTCGTCACCCAGAAGTGCCGCGTTTTGAGATGCAATTCATTAAGCATGGTGGCTTTCAGTATCAATTACTTTAACTTTTGAGCAGACGCGCAGCTTTTGTTTACAAAAGAAAGACACTTTCAGAGTAGCGATTTTAAAATGTTGCAACATAGAGGTTATACAGAAAATTGTCTATGTAAACAAGGAAACATTGTAATTCGTTATATCGAGGTAGATTTTACGTTTGGGCTTCTGGATTATGTTCGTTATATCGAAGAATTCGTTATATCGAGGTTCTATTCCATACATTTTACTGTAACTTTGGCCGGGACATAGAATATCGTTCGCTATATCGAGGACTTCGTTAAATAGAGGTTCGTTAAATCGAGGTTCCACTGTATGCAGAAAACACTACGTTGTCACTTCGTTGCTGTGGTAACAACAATGTGGATGGAACCTTTTCCAAAACTTTTTTTCATCTTCGGTAACTTGGTGAAGCGGCTTGCCCGACCGAGATAAGACAGTGAAAAATCACCTGTTCTCATAGCGATGGTGTGCTACAGACTCTTTTTACAATTAAAGAATTAGCTCTAGCTTTCTACGATTCAATTGTTTCTCATTGGCTATTCGCTTGTAGAAAACTCGCACCTGTACTGTAATTGCTAATTTATGAAACGGTTTAGTAGAAAAATAAATATCATTCATCGATTGAGAGGAGGTTTAATTACGATTAAGGATGTGCAACTGGTTTAAATATTGTGATAAATAAACGAATCTTCTTCATTTGAACACTACGATTAGTGTAAGACGCTCAACAGTTCCATAGCCAATCAGAGCGCAAGATTTTTGAATACGCGCAAAATTTTTGAATGAACCAGTCAGAGGGCCGTATTTAGCACACGTCAGTAACTTGCATAGAAAGTGTCACGCTTTTGCCACTCCGATGTGTCACAGGTTCTGAATGTGAACGTGAACAATATTGGTGATAGTGGTACGGATCATCTCTATGAAAGCTTCTGAAGGCCTTGAAGTTAACAGCACGTTGACAAATGTGGATATGAGCAGAAACAACATTGATAGAGGTGCCCGTCATCTGAATGGGTTTAAGGTGGCTCCATAGGGTAATCTTTCATCGCTTGCGAGTGTAATATATTCGTAACCGGAAGTTGTGTTAAGCTGTTGTATTAGCCAAGATGCTTAGAGAATAAAGTTGTTGTGTTGAGCAAGCCTCGTGAACTTGTGTTGTTATGTCACCAAGCCATACTTTTGCTAGTATGTTTCAGCGAGCGCCAGTGTTATGGTTTCAATGCTGTTGCTGCATTTGTTTTAACACCAACAAGCAATAATGAAATATTGTTTTACTATCATCCCTGTTAAAATCTTGGCTTTCAGTCTCGCCTTACACATGACTAAAGAGCCGTCAATTACCTGCTGACTAGCTGTTTCCATTGTGTCTCAAGCTTTACAATGCCAAAACAAATCTCTTTTTTTTTTTTGAAATAATCTACAGAAAGAAGCGGGTCAAAAATTCGGACAACAGCCTCGAGGAGAATGCACCCTCTTGCAAGCCATACAGGTGGAGACTTAGGCCTCTTTACCCGAGATCTCGTTGCAGGTTGGTCTATTTTGTATGGGTTAGTGCATGGTTTTAAAACTAAATGACGCATTTTTCAAGCTGACTTCTAACTTCAGATTAAAGTACATTAACTTTAAAACCAAAGCAATAACGTGAGCAAAAAATATAATATTATTAGATTTGAGAAAGTATATTAAAATATATGCAGATCAATCAATTCAGTTATTTGAAATGGTATAGAAACTTTGGTCTCAAAGATGTTATTTTAAACGAGAACCCTTTCCCCCTTCGAAGGCATATCCTGCTTAAAGAAATGGTCAGTGCAGTTAGTAACGACGTGCTAGTGCAATTAAACTACTGCAGTGCTCTTTCGAAGTTGTTTTCAATGCTCCTTGGACGGTTTACAATCAACACAGAGCTGATATTGAGATTAATTAACCCGTTTTTTTTTAATTAACCGGCCTAGTATGAGCAAAACATTTTGGCTTAGTGGATTACGGAAAGTATTCTTCCTTGATATTCAAGTTACATTACCACATACCACCTGAGCAAAATAGAACGGACGTTTTGAGTAAGAAGTAGCGGAACTCTAGTGAATTACAACTCATTGAATTTAATATTCTGACCCCGGCGGCTTGTCAGGAAATAAAAAATTGCAATCCCGATTAAATTTGGAATCTTTAGGCGTAGTTTTTCCTTTCACTCGTGTTTCTTGGTTTTCTTTGCATTTGCCTTTGTTTCATTCTCTTCCAAGGTAACAAAGCAAGAGTATAGCAAGCTCCCAGCAATACTCTTTCAAACACAATATACCAAACGGGACCATCCCTTTAACAGAAGCTAAGGCGAATCTTCAATATATTTCTCGGCAGATATGATAACCCGATTCGTTGGAAAACACTCACAATTTTTCTGAACTTTTCAGTCTTGAAGATCTACGTCTCGAATTTAAGAGATATAGGTATGTTTTTCAAATTGAGATCTAGATTTCGACAAAATCGTTGATATGCAGAAAACACTACGTCGTCTTTTCGAAATTTTTTTTTTATGTTCCGTAACTTGGTGAAGCGGCTTGCCCGACCGAGATAAGACAGTGAATAATCACCCGTTCTCATAGCGATGGTGTGCTACAGAATCTTTTAACAATTAAAGTATTAGCTCTGGCTCTCTACCATTCAATTGTTTCTCATTGGCTATTCGCTCGTAGAAACCTCGCACCTGTAGTGTCATTGCTAATATATGAAACGGCTTAGTAGGGAAATAAATATCATTCATTGATTCAGAGGAGGATTAATCACGATTAAGGATGTGCAACTGCTTTAAATATTGTAATAAATAAACGAATCTTCTTCGTTTAAACACTGCGAGTATTGTAAGACGCTCAACAGTTCCATAGCCAATCAGAGCGCAAAATTTTTGAATGAACCAGTCAGAGGGCCGTATTTTACACACTTCACTAACTTGCATAGAAAGTGTCACGCTCTTGCCACTCCGATGCGTCACAGGTTCTGGATATGAGCGGGAACAATATTGATGATAGTGGTGCGGATCATCTCTCTGAAAGCTTCTGAAGGCCTTGAAGTGAATAGCACGTTGCCAAATGTGGATGTGGGCGGAAATAACATTGATAATGGTGTCCGTCATCTGAATGGGTTTAAGGTGGCTCCATAGGGTAATCTTTTATCGCTTGCGACTGCTAGTGTTATGGTTTCAATGCTATTGCTGCATTCGTTTTAACAGTCTAAGTCTTTTTCAGCCTAAGCCTTACACATGACTAAACAGCCGCCAATTACCTACTGACTAGCTGTTTCCATTGTGTCTCAAGCTTTACAATGCCAAAACAAATCTCTTTTTTTCTGAAATAATCTACAGAAAGAAGCGGGTCAAAAATTCGGACAACAGCCTCGAGGAGAATGCACCCTCTTGCAAGCCATACAGGTGGAGGCCTAGGCCTCTCTACCCGAGATCCCGTTGCAGGTTGGTCTATTTTGTATGAGTCAGTGCATGGTTTTAAAACTAAATGACGCATTTTTTAAGCTGACTTATAACTTCAGATTAAAGTACATTAGCATTAAAACTAAAGCAAAAACGTGAGCAAAAAATATAATATGATTAGATTTCAGAAAGTACATCACAATATGTACAGATCATCCAGTTCAATTCTTTAACATGGTATAAAAACTTTGGTCCGAAAAATCGTATTTAAAGGAGAACCCCTCCCCCTTTCGAAGGCAAAGAAATGTTCAGTGCAGTTAGAAACGATATGCAAGTACAAACTACTCCAGTGCCATTTCGCAGTTGTTTATGATTAATGCCTCTTGGACGGCTTATTATGAGCAAAAAATTGTGCAGTTAAGGATTTGCACTACTCGTGAAATTCTAAAATTCTTTCAACTTGAACTCCCCTGCATTCTCGATCGTGCAAGTTCGAGAGAATTTTGAAATATTACTCATATTGTAAGTCCTTATTTGCACACTCATTTCTACGTTATACGATTTATACATAAACAAGTTTACGTACATGTAAAGTAGTTATTATAACAAATGATTGTTCCGGAAGGGTAGATATCATACACAAAAGAGCTATTTTAAGGGTAACAGGAACTCTCTATTGGAGCAACGTGTATCCAAAACAGTCACGAATTCGAACCCCAGGCGGAGATTAGAAACTTGGGGTTGTATCGATGTGCGAGCTGAATTCTGTTAACGAATACACACCAGACATTTATAGGGTTTTTTTAGTCAATCCTTGTTGACTTTTTCGCGGACTTAAAAAATTCCTATTTACACCTGGACGACGTTTATTGTTCAAGAGAAGGTTACAGCATCTTAACCAAAACGTATGTAAATTACTAATTTCAAATTAGTAATTGTTGTCAATGATCAACAGTAACAACAACAGTGAGTACACAGAGGAAGCTAGAAAGTCGAGCCGAAAAGGTAAATGATCGTCAAATTATTTTTTAATTATTGCAGTGATAATATATCAATTCTTTTCGCAGNAGTATTTTAATTTATTCGTCCCTTGTTGTGATCAAACGATCGAGCGGTTGTGAGCAGAGGCTCCGTCTCGTCTCTCACCGAGCAGAACGAGGGGGGAATTACTGTTCGCATGGTAGAGTGACGATGATCCTGTAAGCTGCTTTCGAAGAACTTTGAACAGAAGAGGTCGCCTCTTTACTGCCATTTTTTGTGCAACTTGTTTCAGTGTAAATTATCAGAACTATTTGAGTCCGCGGCGATACATTCGACTCCCCGAGCTTTATTCTTTGCAGTTCTTGATATTTCTTTCGAGCAAATTTACCGGCTCTTCTTGGAGAAAAAACATGTACCGCTCACAGCTGCAGAAGTAAATGACCAAGTACCCAAACATAGTATTAGACTGGAAAAAAGTCATAGAGTTTCAATACAAATTTTAAATCGTAGCGTGTTCACAAAAGATAGACTATATCGTCTTGGTATAGTTGATTCACCAAACTGTGCTTCCTGTCATGATGAAGCTGAATCCATTGAGCATTTACTCGGCTTCTGCACGAAATCTGCCGAGTTTTGGAAACATGTCCTGGCTACGGAACAATAATATCTATGTTGGAACTTTGACCGAAACAGATCTGATTTTTGGAATATTTGATGTTATGGAGGATTTTATCTTGATTGCATCACATGTTGTTACTTTTAGAATATTATATTTATTATAGGAAGTGCATGAATAGACTGCCTTCTGTTCGTGTGTTTTTTTTTTTTTTTGCCAGAGCAGGATGCTGATATAAAATTCTGTTGTAGTAGCTGTAGTAGTTGTGAGAGTGAGTGCGAGTTTTTCATTTTTTCGTATGAATGCGAGTGCAATTAAAGACGAGTAATACTTGAAAATTCTCTGAAGATTTTTCAAATATCACGAGTATTGTTGCTCGAGCTTTCATACGATTACTTATTTATGGGCTGCGGTCACATCTGGGCTACTAACTATAGTTAAGACGGGAATAACTGTAGTTAGCTATTTCGGTAATGTGACCGCTTTTCTGCTCGCTCTAACTATAGTTAGAAAATTTACGCCTCAGTGATCCAAAACAATACAGACAATACAGACAACCATTCAGAATGTAACAATTATTTTCGCACGAGCGAGATGAGTGTATATAAATTTGCAAAATAAAAACCAAGCGTGAAACGAGGGGAAAACCAAAAACAACAAACAAAACATTTACATACAATAAGGTAGCAACACGTGTAGCCAATTGTACAATTGTATTGCCTTCTTCGGCGGCGAGCGTAAGTTAAAATTCTCAGCTTATTTCTCATTTTTCTCCGACGGTTTGCCGCTAGAAAAAAAGAAATAAGAAGAGAAACTAGACACACTTTACGTCGGTCAACCATGTTGACGTTTCACGGATCAACAATAAGGGCCGTCACGAACCTCTTTTAATTCTGACGTCATCCATAGGCTAATTAGAGCTAACTGTAGTTAACTGCGTGGTGTGACCGCAAAGGCGACCGAAAGCACTAACTACGGTTAGGTATGACGTCACGTAACTTGAGACTAACTTAGGGTTAAACTTTAGTTACATCGTAGATGTGACCCCAGCCACTATGTGACTAATAATATGCATGAAAAAATTACTCGATTCTGATTGGCTGAGAGCAGTGTAGTTCAAGTGTAACACAAACGCAAAAAGTGTAACACCGGTGCAAAAAGTATAACATCAGTGCAAATTAAACATCGCAATTCTGGATTATGATTGGCTGAAAGACAATAGGAAATTTTCGAAGCCAATGATTTTACGTCAAATAATGACGAAGATTTTGTGGGGAAACTTTGAAAAAAGTTTTCTCGAATGAGAAAAAATGGCTTCAAGAAAGGTCTTTCGGCACTTCCTCCACGCAAAGTTTTTCATGTTTATATTATTAATAGGTAATCATACGGTTTTTCTCGTTCAATTTGCAATTAATTCACACTTGTGAGTTTTTCAAAAAGCTGAAATTGCACTCGTCGAAGCGGCTCGTGCAATTTCAGCTTTTGGAAAAACTCACTCGTGCAAATTAATTCCAAATTGAACGAGAAAAACCGTATGATTACTTATACTAACAAAATTGCGAACGCACGCGCGTTAATTTACAGTGCAGTGCAAATTAAGAATTAATGCTAAATTTGCTTGGTCTCAGCCAATCACGATAGAGTAATTTTCTCAGTCATTTGATAATGTTATTAACTTTCTTTCGTTTGTTTGTAAGTGTTTGTATTGTTGTTATTTAAACAACTACTGGGCACATCAATGGAAACGCTGTATAGATCACAATTGTATATTATAGAATCCATTGCCTTTTCTCACGAATTCTTTAGAAGTACTTTGAAAATTCCAGAGTGGAAAGAAAAGGGAAATCCTGACAGATTTGCTCGCAAGATGAAAATAGGTATGTAAAATTTACAGTATGGTAAGTTTTTTATTTAATATTAAAGTTTCAATGTAAAATTCCAAGCTTGTTTAATTACCGATTTCGTGAGACTAACCTAGGACAGGAAAGGAGATTCATTCACGGGGTAAAGCACGCCATGAGGCAAGCGCGATGAATAGAAAGAGCTAAATAATGATTTTTATACCTATTCGTACCTTTTTGGTACGCTTCGGCGGTATATCAGGTGAGTCTGGTCGAGCCTTGGTTCGTATTTTGGCAAGACGAAGTCATGATCGTAGCGGTTCTGCTCATGGGCGCGCACCCACGACGACGAAGTCGCGCAACATGACGGCCATTATACTTCAGCTAATAGGTCGACCGAGACATGCAGCCTTGGTTTGCAGCATACATCTTTAATATTGGACATCCATGTTATGATCAACTGACAACCATGGCGAGACCAAACGAGCCTGATACGCCGCCGAAGCGTACCTAAAAGGCTAGATTAGTATTTACAGTACACAAATTCGGCCAAGTGACCAAGATATCAAAACCATATCAGGTCAGGGATTTTTTATCGCAGGATATCAGGATAGTAGACGCGGCTTCTGATTGGCTAATTGTGAATTTGGGTACGGTAAATTGTTCTGATAAACCAAATACTCTACGGTAAGTTCTTTGAAATATATTGCCATATAGGACATTTTATTTTTTCCCATATGTTCTTGGAAGTGGTTTGTATTAAGCTAGAGTTAATGTCACTAGTTACATAAAATCATTTCACTAAAAGATTTAGCTTGGTAAGATTGAGTGAAATACTAACTTAAAATCGTCCTTTTCTCCGGGAGTGGCCGCGATGAATATTTCCACCTCCTGTACGAAATGTTTCCAGTTTAGTGCGATATTACCCCCCAAGCTAAACGGTTCGGGTTTTCGGAGACCATCTGTCATAATTGAAATTGTTAGATTGTCAGAGAGACCGGGCGATGCGGATTTTTTTCTTTACTTCTAACACCATGTAGTTTTCAAGCGACGACCTCAGTCAACGAATCCATTTATTCAACCACTGGGATAATGCTACACACACATTTAATATAAAATTGATTTGCATTTTACTCACAAACCCTAACCCCTAACCCACATTCAACACGCATACATTCACACGCTCGTTCCACAGTTTAGCTTGGTAAGATTAAGTGAGATACAGTGTTGGCTCCACTAGCTTTACGTCGGAATTAGCAATCTTGAAATGTTCCTCCTTCGCCACCGTCCTTCGTGCAATATCACGGCAAGAAGATCAGTAATTCCAACAATATCATACTCGTGGCATCATGTCGTGAATCATGTTGATTCTTCAAGCAATAGAATGCCAGCAAAGCAAATAGCACCTTCTAAGGAGGCCATGACGGCCTATTGTCTTACGTGGCCTTGGCATTCACGTCTACTCGGAGTTTGTCCAGATCAAAAGGGCTGTTCAATCCGCCAACTGTCCACCGTAACTGATCAACTTGACGGAGTCACGGCCACATCTCTATTAGTAGGAACGCTCTGTCTCACTTCAACTTGGGAAGTGCTAAACAGCAATAGGCAACAAACCCAAGTCCACAAATTAAACGAAAGACAACAAGATATTACAACAGATCATTAAAAATTTATATGCAACATAAAAATGATTTAAAGGTTACTAACGATGTGCTCTTTTAAAACACCTTACAGTTACAGTTTCTCTCAACACACTGGTACCGTCCAGTTGTTTGGGAACCCTGACGAAAATATCGTGTGGTACCAATGATGGACTGACGTTCGTTTACGAGAGGAATAACAAACACTCTTACCTTCTTTGTGCTACGGAAACATGACTAAACCGCCAGCGAAAAACTGTGGCAAACGAAAGCTGATGAGTTTCCATTGTGTCCCAAGCTTTAGACTTCTTCATACTTTGGAATGCCAAACAAATCTTTATTTTATTTTTTTTTTTGCTGACATAATCTACAGAAAGAAGCGGGTCACAAATCGGGATGATGGACTTGCAGGCAATGCGCCCTCCTGAAAGCCCAACAGGTGTACGCCTAGGTAGGTACAAAAATTCAAAATTGTCTTAACCCGAGATCTCGTTGCAGGTTGATCTATTTTGTATGTGTTAGTGCACGGTTTTAAAACTAAATGACGCATTTTTCAAGCTGACTTCTAACTTCAAATTAAAGTACATTAACCAGTCCGGAATATCCCGATAAATTAGGACAGTCATGACGTCATGAGGCTATTGTTAGCAAGGAAAATGGCGGACCTTTTATGCGGACCAAGAAAATATGTTGTTTCCAGTCTCGCATAGAGTCTGGCCAGCATTATCCAGGACTTTTTGCGACCAAACGTTGAAAAGAAGAACAAGCGGCCATTTTGGTAGTGGGAGAACGTTGACTGTCTTCTAATCATTGAGTTTTTTTGGTGTCAAGCGACGATGTAGACGCGATTTTGTGGCCAAAT